GATTCAAAATAATCAAAAAATGAGCATTTTATATAGTAGTTAAATTGATAGCTGATATGTAGGACCACAAAAGGACGTTTGACATGAAAACTTAAATCAGAATTTTTTTATTTGTTTTTATAAGTAAAGATTTTCAAAACGCGATCTTATGACTGTAATTATAGAATATTGAATATTGTCTGTATATGTGAATATTGTCTGTCATATATATAAAAAAATATTTGAAAAAAATGAAAAAGTCTGCAAAATTTAAAAATATTGAATTTTCTACTCGTAGGGATTATTCTTAAAAGATTATAAACGTAATAATTAAAAAATTTACCCAACAATATCACTGTTAGTAACTAAAATAAGTTTAACAATTAAAAATAATATATGATTTGCGGCATTGGCCTGTATGAAAATGTAGTCTCAGACGGATGACGCTACATTTCATAGGGTCAGCGTAACAATCAACTTATTAAAATTAAAACTTGGCAATAATTAGTCGATTTCGAGAAATAAACCCATCACATAGGGCCTGAACTATTTACAACTATTGTATTTATTATCTGCTGTGTATGTATATATTTGGGGTTATGGACATTTGCTAATAAATGCAAATTTCCAAGGTATTAGACGCTATAACGTTGCCTTAGTATTGTTGATAGCAGAGAGTAGATTTCGAAAATGTGATGCTAAATCGAATACCCGTTATTTTCCTCCCCAAAAAACAACAGGATGGCCATTCGTTCGAAATATTTTCAAATGTAAATATTACGTAATATTACTGGCTTCTCAATAACAAGGTAAATTCAAATTTCTGTAAATATTTTTACAATTTCAAATTTTACTGGGCTTATCGTAGTGTAATTATGAAAATATGTTTATTGTAGATTCTCTTTTTTTCGAAAAAACACTTTATTATGCCACCTTCTTTTTCTCTATTAAATTTATAAAACTTAGAAAGAATAAAACTATGGATATTCTGAAAAATTCTAATTAATTCGCAGAATTATTAGACTCCCCTAGTCACAAATTTATAAAATGCAATATTTATGACATAATTTAAAAAATAGTTTATAAACTCTATGTACTTTACATGTTTTATAGTTATTTTTCATTACGGAATATTTTGTAATATAAAGCACGTTAATAATATAATGTAAGTACTTAAAGGTATACCCCATGCTTATATGCACCTGAATAGCTGAATACATGAAATGCATTTTACCTATATGAAACTTTTTCATTTTTTTCGAATCTACTTAATAGTAATGTCATTGGCTTATTATTTAAAGATAAAATTTACAAAAAAAAAAAAAAAAATTATTCATTCCAATATAGCATGACACGTACCTTGCAATATATTATAAACTTGTCGTTCAATAAGTTTTACAAAAGAGTTAGTTATAAGGGAGAGAATTTATGAAGTAAAAAAAAAAAAATAATATTTCATAGAAATCTATTTGTACTGCTTTTCCATTATTACACGCTTTTTTTTTTTCATCTCACTTTAAACTCCTCTATTTCTTTCTCTTCCTATTCTTCCCTTTCTATAACATGTTGTACTTCTTTTTTTCTTTCTCAAACTTTTATCATTCGTATAATAATAATAATATAAAAGAAGTAAGCTAACAATGAAGAGGAAATACACGTCAACGCTTTTGTTGACTTCATCGTCACTTAAGAAACTTGAATAGCGAGAAGAGATAGCAAGCAAAGTATAGTATATTACAACAACAGTGTTAACATTATTGCCATGCGATATTACTTAACAAAAAAAAAAGATATGAAAAACGATAGATGCATTCAATTGCATAAATGTACAATACAAATAAATATATAAGCACATCTACATCTCTCATATATCATTGGTATATAGGGGAATATTAAACAAAAACGAAAAAAAAAAAATATAAAAAAAATTAAAAGAAAAATCTTTAAAAAAGTTGACAATGAATACAGAGAAGTCGTCAAGTTGACTGTCCCTTATTCTATTTTTATTTTTTTTTTTCTTATTTCTTTATTCTTTATTTAAAAAGCAATACTTACAAGCCAACATATACACAATAAAAGGACATGATATTTAAAAAGGGAACAGATAATTTTAAAGAATTCTAAATCTATATGTACATTGTTGTTGTTTTTTTTTTTGCTCACATTTTGTTTTTGCCTGAATTTTGTGAAGTTTATTAGCTAGATCAGATTTTCAATTCTTATATAATACACTGATTTTAAATTTTATACAAATCAGGAATCCAAAAACGGCAATATATATTTTTTTTATTATATAATTACGAAATGAGATAGGATGATTCGGTTTCTCAATCAGAAATATGTAAAAAAGAAATAAAATCTTCATATTTCAAGGGTATTATATGTATAATAATTAATTGCCGTTAATTATAAAATATAAGAAAGAATTAAAAATGAGAATAGGTAGATCTATGAGTCGAGTTTGTGATACCAGTACGAATCAATGATTTTCAAAGCCGTTTAATGTCACACTGCTTCATGTTGTTTTATGTGTATTAATATTATATTATATTAATTTGTGTCCATTTATGAACTATATAGTTTGCACATTTGTTCAATAATGAATGGCAGCTACTGCCAAATACATACAGTCTGAACGAATTTTGCTTTTGTTTGTTAAAACTTTCAGTCTTGTTCCTCAAAAAATTTCTAAGATATTGATAAATAATTTTTAAAATTGCATGACGGCTAGCAAAAAGAGGGATGCAATTTGAATAATTCGTTCACAATATTATGTACGAAGAGTCAATACCAATTCAATCAATCAAATTCAAATTTTGAGATATAGTCAAATCACTTTTGAACTTGTATACCAATAACACGAACAACTGTGTCGATAACACACCCAATTTACATAGGGTTCTCGTATCTACCTTCGAACATACGTTGGCAAGAGGTTAAAAGACTCATTTTGTGAACTCTAAAATGCTTTAGAAAATAAAATTTTTAAAATATTTGAAGGAATTTCGGTTTAGGTCGTAACATAGTCTATAATATATTATAAATGAAAATATAAATTTAAATAAGAAAAACTTTTGTTTATGTATTTATGGAACTAAGAGTTTTTCCGAGGTTAATGTACTGATGAATTAAAATATTTAAGTAATATCATTTTTTATGATTTTATTTTTAAAATCAGATGAAATCTTATAGGTTTCTTATCAAAAAATTTTATAACAGATATCGAGACCTCATTTCGATATTACTTAAAAAATATATGGAAAAAATTACTACCCCAAATATCAATATGAAATTCATATTTATCTGAAAAAGAAGCCATAATACCGCATATTTATTACAGTAGACAGAATTTTTCTTTGGAACTCTTAGTGAATAAAATTTCATAGTATGCTTGAAATGAATACAATAGTGAGCTTATTGAAACCCTTATATTATACACACGTATTCGTATAATAAACTGCAATTATTTTAATGGTGAAAATTTTAATCAAAACCGTTCAAATTATTTATATTTTAAAATTCTAACCAATTGACCCAATAAACTCAATATAATAATTTTAAAATAAAACTTATTTTATATTTATATAAAAAAATAAAATATTTTGTATAACATGAAAAAGAAAAGTTGAACACTTCAAAAAAAAATATTCTAGATTCTCATATTGCACTCATATGATAAATTAAAAATTCAATAATTATTTTCTTTACAATCAACACATTTAAAAGTTTCTTGTAAGTTCTCCTTCCTATTCACAATTATATAAATCTAAATTGTTAAGAAAAAAGTTTGAAAAGCATTGCTATATGAACGAACAGAATAAAAACTAAAAAGTAAAAATAAAAAATTTACCTTACAGAATGAATCTGAATGAATGCCTAATAAAACAAGCTCGACATTGGCATTTTCCGTTGTACAATATTCAAATAAAAAAAAAATAAAATAAGAATAAAAAACTGAAAGAATATTATTGTGAAAAGAGGATATGGTCGTCCTTACGGTAAAACAACAATAATAACAATTATTATTTTTTATATGAAAATCGGTGTACTGAAGTCCTTCTGACTTTGTGATTGTCGTCTTAATAATGACGATGAAGATGATATTCTGGAAATTCTGTTTTTTTTTTTTGTGTCATGGTAATCCTCTTTTAAAAATAAAATCCTTGTAAAATTCCCTTTCGCTAACTGGTTTCTGTTTTTTTATATGTGCAATTTATTTGTTGGTTTTTTACTCTTTTTCTTTATGCATTTAAATTTGAACGTGAATAGATTTTTTTTTTCTTTGATTCATTCATTCAAAATTTTTTCTTAGTTTTGTTGATTGTTAGATATCCAAAATACATACATACATACATACATATCTATGCACGTAATTTTAAATTGCCGTGTTCTTTCTCGCAAATTGTGCTGATGAAAGTTTTTGAATTAATTTGAAAGAAAATTAAATAATATGCAATATCTCCGCCATATTGTAAATGTATGCAATGATGATAAAATACAATAAAAAAGACATAAAAATTGACGATTTTCAAAGCTAAATCATGATTATTAAATCTCAAGGTTTGCAAAGAGTGTACAAGAAAATTGATTATAATTGATATTAGTTGGAAATTGTATAATAAAAATTTACTCAGGTGTAAGTTCAAGTAATATAATAGCAATTTTGCCATTATGATTATTTTCTTCACGTCCAACATAGTAGCAGTACTATTATTTCAAAAAACATGGATTGAAAGTCTTTGGACTTACGTTCTTTTCTCAAAGAATTTATGTCACAGCAATATTAATTACTTCCTAGTGGCAAACTAAAGTTTTAAATGATTGCCACTAGATTCAAATCCGGCAAACCTGTACAAAAAATATTTTCAAAAATACATAATTCCCGAAACGGAAGCTTTTTTTTTAAACAAGTAAGTGGTCTTTAATACTAAATATGTAGTGTTATGCTAACTAAAAAACAAGTACGTATAACATTTTTGTAGGGGAAATTAACAACATTTTTTTCTTTATTTCAAAATTACCTGAACAATATCGCCTTGTTCATGTCCTGATGCTGTAAATGTCAAATGACATAAAAATGGTAATCGATTCCATTGTGGTTTTGGTACTTTCAGTGAATATGTTCTAGCAACATCACCATAATATGTTCTGTTGCACACTGGAAATACAAAGTAAATATTTTTTTTTTAATTTAACAACAAATTTTTCATAATATTTAAATGAAAATTTGAGAGATGATGTCCTTGAAAATAATATTAGATTTTGGTTTTAAAATTTATTAAAAAAATCGTCTTCAGTCTAAAAATCTTGAGAGAAATTATTACTATAACACCAAACTGATAAAACTCCTTTTCATCAACTATATTTTAAGATCTACATTTTTATTACAGATAATTTTTTTTTTCATGAAAAATATCGAAAATAATAGACAGATTTTAGGGTAATGACTAACTAAATAAATCTAACCGTCTACAATTTGAAGGAAAAAAAAAAGTGATATCCAGTCTCTTGACCATCTTAATGAGAGTGTTTTGCCAAAATACCAATTGCAATACCGCAATTCATCCTGAAAAAACTTCTTTTCCCCTTTTTTTCTAGAGTATAATTCCTCTAGGAATAGTGAAACAGCATTTGAAGAAGCATTAAGCAGTCAGCTTCTGCCGCGGTGATCGTGAAAATCGTTCGTGTCAAAACGAACTCTCTTAAAGAAAAACATTTCTGCTATTTCTTAATTTCATCTAATATTTTGTCTCAAACATAAATTTGACCACTTTTTTCCTTTTATTATACATTTTTTTTTCGAATTCATTTTTCCTTAAACTCTTCTACATATGTGCTTGCATTCTAATTTTTATTTTTCTTTAATAATATTTTGTTATTATTATTGTTCTTTTATTCTTTTATTAATATGATAAAAACAAAATTTTTTTAGACTTACCAGTACATCCTTTCGGTTCATCACTTAAATCTCCGCAATCATCTCTACCATCACAATATTTATCCAATGGTATACATAAACTACTTCCACGACATGGAAATTCTGATATTCTACAAGCGTATCCAGTTTTGATTGCTAACACTAAGAGAACAAATGCTCCAAAAATTGAGTAAATAATTTTCGCGTATGTAATCATCTGCAAGAGAGAAAACAAAAAAAAAAAATGCATATTAAAAATAAGAATTTGTAAATATGTATGTATGTTGTATGTACTTATATATACAAAATAGATTTTTTATCTAGAATTATAAGTGAAAAGTTAGAGAAGAATAAGAATATATGCACTGCAGACACTATGTGTACGATATATAGGACACATATATGTTCTTTTATTAGTACAAAGGATTAAGAACGCTTATCATTCAGAGGTTTTTATGGTAGCAGAGCACCATCTTAGAAATTATAAAGTAGTTTCGTACAAAGTCATAAAATATGAAAGATAAGCCAAGAAAATCTCTTTTATTTCTATTTTACGATGTGAGGCGAGACTTATTTCAAAATTGTGTTAGTACAATATGTAAAAGCGAGGTAGCCAAACACAATTTCTCTTATATAATATGGTTGTTTATAAACATTATGTGTGCGTGTATAGATGTATAACAGTTTTTATAAAATATTATATGTGGTGTACATGAAAGTTATTCTCTTCGAAAGAAAAATATATCCTGCTTAATACAATTATATTGTATATGTAAGTGTAATTGTGTGTGCTGAAACAAAATGAAAATTGTAATATTGGCGATTGGCGCGGTTTTCTTTTTTTTTTTTTTGTTATAGCCGTACTTTTCAAATGGATAAAAAATATTTCTGTTTATGTTCTGTGATTTTGTTGTTGTTGTTGTTGTAATTTATGTTAAGTAAGATGCCGAATTTTAGTTTTTTTTTCTCATCTCAATAATTCATTTACTTAATATTTTTTGTATACCAATTTTTATTTATATGTGTATGTATATGTAAGTTTGTTTAAAGCAAAAAAAATAAGAAATATTGCGTACACAAGAGGAATAAAGATTTAAATATAATTTTAGTATCTAAAACAAAAAATTTAGTGTTACCAATAACCATAAATTTTTCTCATGGTTGTGTATTTATTTTCAGGTTGATAATGAGGCGGAAATATATATATCTATGTTTGATTCTCTTCTTAATTCGCGAAATAAAAAAGAGAGTAATAAGGGAATATTCGAAATTTTTGAATTTCTTTGGAGCTCTAGTTAGGTTTCTTATATTATAAATAAAAAATGAAATTCGGGGAGGAATATCAGGCATTGACTGCTTTTATATAACGATTTTTAGATAAAATGTTAATAAGGGCGGCGATTTATTTTTTATTGCATTGTTTATAAATAACAGATATGAGGTAAAACGGTACTTTTAGGTATGTGTTATAAATCTGGGGCAACAATCTGTATTTAAGAAATGCATTTTTGATGTAGGCATAGCGTTTAATATGAAAACCTTTTTCTTTATTAAATTACAGTTTTTTTCGTTATTGTCCAATATTTTTTGGAATTTAGAAAGCCTAATTTACCCTCTTTAATTTTGTCAGTAACATCTTTTAATGTAGCTGTTACGGTCCGCGAAATAACTGTGAATATTTCCTTGAAAAGTAATTGAACTGTGAAATGAACATTTTTAGAAAATAATGAGTTTTTTCATAATTTTTTTATAACATATATTTGTAGAGAAAACAACAAATGGGACCTAAATTGAAAATAATTTTTAGAATGAATTGAAAAAACTAGAATTGAATTCGGAATATACTCAAATATTTAAAAATATCATAGCCATATCCAAATTCTCAAAATATACATATAAATATGACAAACATACAATACAACATTAAAAATTTTTAAAATTATTTCAAAAAATTTTTCAATTTTTTTTTGAATTCTTCAAAACTTAATGTCAAAATATTTTATAGTATTTATATAACAATATTTTAATAAATAAATTTTCCATAGTTCAATATTCTCTCAGCATGTTTGTTATTAAATGTATTTTTTTGTGGGTTCTATTTAATCAAAATAATATTCTATTGGCAATACCAACAAAATAAAATTCCCGAGGGTTATCTAATAAGATACAACAAACGAAACCAAGAAATAAACCATGCCTTATAATTTTATACAAAAAATATGTGTATAAAATTTATGTATATATACAATATTTGTATTTATGTATGAATGTGCATAAATAATAATTTTCGGAGTATCTAAAAAATACAAAATAATAAAAAATCTATAATGTAGCTGCAAGCAATATTGAGCACGTAACACGTTATAATATTGCGGGGAAAAGAATTATTTAAAGAAAATTATTTTAGATTTGTACAAAAAATTGTGTATTGTATGTATAATATATGCATTTATGTATATATATATGTACGTAGACGCATACTTATAACTTGCTATATAAATAATGTTACCCACTTTTCTTTAAAATATATAAATTTTTTCTAATAGAAATATTAAATTAAATATAAATAAGAAAAATAAATTTCTATATTTTGAAAGATTTGTAACACCTCCTATAATCTAGATATTTAATACAAATTGTATGTATGTATAGCACTATATAGCACTAATTTGTATGTACATACTTACATAATCATTCAAAATTACCAAATAGAGAAATACACATTATACTGCAAAATCGGCAGAATTTTGTTTGGAAATTTTTAATTTACAATATATATACGAACCCAAAAAATATTATATATGATAAATTAATATTATTAATGGTTTATGATATAACGTATACATACCTACTTAATTTAAGACGCGTATATGTATGTCTTATGTGTGGCATGTTATAAGTACAATATGAAAATTCTGCTAATAAATTTCATGATTTTATTTCATTTTCTTTCTATTTATTATACTTGTAATTATATCGACATAAAATATGAATTATTGTTAGGAGAAAAAAAAATTAGACTTACAAAATAATGTAGGGAATAAATTAAAATTTGAATATTTTATGTACACATATAATATAAATGTATGTGCTGCGTATAAAATTGATCGATTCTTTCAGAATAAAATTTATGTAAAATTATTATTGATTATATTCTAAAGATAAAATATTCTATACGTAAATTACAAAATTCCTAATTATTTATTTTGGTTTTGTATTCTTGATTTCACCCCTCAGCCATTTACACACATTATATTTATGCATACATACGAACGAGTATGTTCAAATATTTTGTTTTCTTTAAAATATTTGTAATTCAATAAAATTAAGAGATTTCTATGAAATATTTTATTGTTATACTTTTAAATATTATTATAATTTGATTTTAATAGAATATTTAAAATTTTAACTATGAAATTTAATTTTTATAATAATAAAGAATATTTTAGAATTTAATTTTGGAATTTTTCTAATTCTATAATCCACAAGATTATATTTTTGTTTCTTTTTTGTTATTCCGAGATAATTCGTCATAATAACAATTGCAAAGAATCGACTAAAAAATTTTAATTTTTTTTAAAAATTACTTAAACATCTAATTAAATAGTAAATGTCAACAATTTCAAAGCAAAAAAGTTAGTTAAGGCAGAAAAAATTATTAAAAAAATTTTTCTCCTCGAGCTGAAAACGAACCAGTGACAATTTGTTGTTAGATTACCGAATTTACTAATACAAAATGTGTGAACCAGTGGCGAAATCAATACGCATAAAATATCCTTGAAATTTATAATTTTCAATGCCTACATTATAATGATTTTCGATTTGAAATGTGTATTTGTCTAAATCAGTGCTGTCCAGCTTTAAAATGCTCAAACTAAATTTAAAATTTTGGAATGGTGTGCAAAAAGCTATTATTGTAATTAATTGCAACACAAATATACGTTCAGAAGAACCGATTTATAATTTTATTGTGGAAAAATTTCCAACAGTTGGTCTTAACTCTTTATAATTTTATTGTGGAAAAATTTCCAAAGCCTTAACCCTTTTTTGTCGCTTTTCACGGAAAATGTAAGTAATTTTCTGCATAATGTGATTGATAATAAAATTCTCTTGAAGATACATATAAATTCAACCTACAATGACTAGTAGAAATACCAATTTGAAAATGAATGTATCATAAAATAATTAATTGTATCTTAAAATAAAGACAAACTACAGTCGAAAAATTTAAACTTAACACCAATAAAATTTATAGTAACAGGACCATTATTTGAAAAAATGTTAGAAATAAATTCACACATAATATTATCAAACAACTCTTGATACACGGTCAGTATTGTATCTTATCCTAATAATAATTGAATTTGTATGTACAAATTAGATTTTACAAAAATACAATAAACTTATAATTATTACTAAACGATCGTAGAGTTTATTATATTTTTAATAAATTATTAAGTCAAATAGTATTACTTTTCATTTTAGCCACAGAAACCCTACTATACTTAAATTTCGATTTCGGCATATTCTTTTTATACAAAATTTTACAAATAATAATTAACCCTACAATATCTATAATCACTCTAAGCATATGTATTCATCAAAGCATTTTGATATGTTCATGCATTTATAATAAAAATGAATCTTAATGAAAGAATTAATTAAACTGAATAATATTACGTATGCTACTATGTATATATAAATTAAATTCATAAAAAATTCAATATGATTAAGGCTCATATCACATAATAAATTCAGATTTATCATTCATATCCAATATTTTAGAATATAAAAATTTATTTAATTGCATCTCTTAAATTTTTGGTTTATTTTTTTTTTTTTGTTTTTGTTCATAATTTAAATTCTAATCCTTTATTTAAGGATCAGAATTCTGAATGAAAATTTTGTTTTTGTATATGATATCTTAAATCTTCATTAAATTCGGATCAGTTTTTATTCATTTTTTCATTTTGTCTTAATTTTAATCAAATTCTGAATAACATGAAAATTTTCTATACTATTATACCTATATTATTATACAAAGGATCCTATAACAGACATACATAATAATTTTCATAATAAAAAATATAAAGGACAAAAGAAATAAAATTATTAAGGAAAGGATAATAGTTATATAAAATCCTATAAAGGATTTTATATAACTATTTTATGTATTTTGTATATAATAATTTTAATTCTTAAATTTTATAATAGTTT